TCAATCCTTTCCCAGCCTCCCAAAGCCTCCCTTCTGTTGTTTCTGCGGACGTAATCAAGCCCTGGAGCCTCTCAACCCCAAAACCATCAAGCTCCGAACTCTCGACCCTAAGAACCCTCAACCACGTATCAGAGTGCAGGGCGCCATCCTCACCCGTTCTCGCCACAGTGGGCACGCCTGGCGATTGGGACAGGCGCAGGCGCCGTCCAGAAGAAGCCGCCGAAGTTTAGGAAAGTCGTCTTGAGGCGTTGAGGGCCCTTGAGGTTCAAGTTGCAGGGTTGAGAGGTTGAGGCGTTGAGGGTCTTTTCGCGTAAATTTCAGGCTTTTGGGCTTGGGAGCTGGGTCCGGGTCTACCGAAATTATGGTCCAGGTGTTCGGGTCCCTATTACTATCGTCCTCGTAATCCTGTGTGGTGCCAAGAAAGGCTTCTCAAGCCGCGAACCTTCAGTTGGGCAACCCCCCAAACACCGGACAGAAACAAGGGCCCAAGGTACCAAAGCCCTAAACCCTAAACCCTAAACCCTAAACCCTAAACCCTAAACCCTAAACCCTAAACCCTAAACCCTAAACCCTAAACCCTATACCCTAAACCCTAAACCCTAAACCCTAAACCCTAAACCCTCCAGCACCTCAGGGTTTGGGGGTTGAGGGTTTTCACTCTCCCCTTGAGCTTCAGGGCGGTTTTAGAATTCAGGGTTTAGGGTTCCGGATGTAGGGCTGAGGGTTTAAGATTAGGGTTGCCCATCTCCTCCATGTGGTTCGTGGTGAGTTTAGGGTTCAAGATTTTAGGAATCAGGGTTAAGGCGGTTAAGGTTTCTCGTTTCACCTCTTCCCCACTGCGGTTTGTGGTGGGTTTAGCTTTTCGGGTTCAGGATTTAGGGTTTGGGTTTATGGTTTCCCTCACCCCGGGGGGGGAGGGAACGCGGAGTGCTGGCGCAGAAAGGGGTTTAGGGTGTATCGGGGTTAAGGTTCACGGCTGCGAGAAGCCCGAAGCGACGAAGCATGCGGTTTAAACAATCACAGAGCTGTATCGAGCCTGTCCGTCCAAAAAGTACTCCTGCCCACTGCCTGAAACCGTCATGTTTTTCCGAATGGTCCTGCGGAAAGCCTGAAGCCCTAAAGGTCCCCCTAGCCCATGTTTTCTGGAGTTTTGCTGCTTGCTGAAGAGGCCATGGACAAGCACGGTATCAACCCGCACCCTGGTGAACGTGGAGGTTTTGCTGGGTTCTTGTTGAGAAGCCCCCCAGGAACTCAAACTAAGTTACCATTTGGGGCTTCCTGGTGAACTTCGTGTCCTACCATGGGAAGCATACTTAAGATACGTTGTAGAGGGCACGAATGCCCTTGCTATGTTTGTCCCAGTCCCCGAGAAAGGATCGGGAAATGTGTGATGGAGCTCAGGTTGTCTTTGGCGGAGGAGGGGGCGGGGGAGGGGGTGTTGACTACTAGGGGGATGCCCTTATCTCATCCAGTTTTTCAGATCTTTGGGAGGTCGCTGGAGTGTCCTGCAAGAGAAGAAATGCAGACTCATGTAGATCCTGGACGCAGGTCACCAGTTCCCTAAGCAACATTCACTCGCGAACCCCCCTGCAAAGTGCCCATGAAGATGGCAGAACTAGCCACATCTTGATTCGTCTGAAGTGCCCCGTCTGCCTGCCCTCACAGCCTTGGACTTCAGGAGCACGTTCCATTCCTTATCTCCCGAATTCCCTCAACCTCAATCCGCTCGAGTCGCGAGCCACGAGTGCGGTGGTTGCCTTCACCCCTTGACAGCATCAGGCAGCCAGATTGGTTTCGACTACAGACCAACTACGACCCCTGGACAGCACCCGGCCAGCAGCAAGTTCGCAAACCCCAAACTCGAAGGTTGGAACCATGACCCTTATCATGTATAGTGTCTATAAGGGTTATATAACCGGGGGCCCAAATGAAGGGCCCATACTTCGGATCCCCTATAAACCCTGAACCCCGAAGTAGATGTGGCTGTTTTGGGGGACCAACGCCTGCCGAAGCTGGATGCCACCCAAAGCAAGACAGCCCTGTGACCAACGGAACAATTCATACCCTAAACCCTAAACCCTAAACCCTAAACCCTCAACCCTCATCCCTCAACCCTCAACCCTCAACCCTAAACCCTGAACCCTAAACCATGTCTTGAAGAACGATGGCTGAATCTTGCCCCAGCAGATATGTCGAAACTGTCGGAGCACAGTCTGTTCCACCCACCGGCCTTCAATTAAGCGAACATGCCTTCACCGAGGATCCTTTCCTTTTGATTTTTTTGGGGGTCAACAAACCCTAAACTCTAGATTCCTGAACCTCAACTCATCGGTTTAGGATTGAAGGATGATCCTCCAAACGCTGTTGCCTCGGGTCCAGGTTCAAAGGCCCCTAAAATCTAAAGCACAATTTCCTGAGCCCTAAGCTGTGACATGCTTATGACCTGTTCAAGGGTGTATAAACAAGGTCACCCATAAGGTGCTTCGTACGGAAGAATGCGAGGCCCCCCCGTCCCCCCCGCTACTGTAATCGTAGTTAGTTCTGAAAGGAGACTATGTTACTCGGTGGGGGGGTGGGGTGGGAGTGTAGGAAAGAGTTAAGCCCTACACCCTAAACCCGTCGGGCTTGGGGGTTTAGGGCTAGGCCACCGGCCGAGCCGCCCCCACATGCTGATGATGAGTATTAACAGGTATCAGGAATCATCGCGAACACAGAGCAAACGTTAGCTAGCAATCTGGAGATTGCTGCCATGATTGTGCTATTCCATATTGATTCTTGTTGCAAGTGTTTTCTTCCGATTGTATCCTTTCAATGGTTGCAAATTCGCTCATTCTCTCAACCCGCTGAATCCCAACAGCCCAGGCGGTTCCGAACTACGACAACCGCCGCCAGCCCTCGGTGAAAAACGCCGCCAGCTTCTGCGCCCAAGGCGCTGATGAGGCGTGCGTGACCAAGGCGGGGTTCAGGGTTTTGGGGTACAGGGCTTTGGGTTCAAGCTTAGGACTTTTATGGGGCTTTGGGTTCAGGGTTGAAGAGGGGGGGAGGGGTTCTGGACACCGGAGTGATTTTCTGGGCGTTAGGGTGCAAAGCACTCGGGAGGTTTTCTTTCGAACCGTGCTCGTTGGGGTTAGAGATTCGGGGGGATGGGCGGGTGGGGTTTGGGTAGGCACTTCAGTCGACTCAACAAAAGATGCGCCAGTTTGGTCTAGGGATTCGCGCCTTCTACCACAGAGCCCTTCACCCGCCAGGTCATGACGACCTGGCCTACGAAGAACCATCACACGGACATCACGTCCGTGATGTGCCCACGGACGGGCTTCATGAGCTCCCTGGTGCTGACTTTGTTGGGGTCCTTGGGGGCTGTTGGGGTTTTTGAGGGTTCTTTAGCGTTCTGGCTGCACAGTTTCGGGTTGGAGGGACCTTAGACTGGGGTCAAACCCTTGGCTTACGAAACCTTTCCATTGTTCGGGCTGGGGGGGGGGGGGTAGGTGTAGGGTTTTAGGGTTTAGGGAGCCTAGGGTTTACAGCAGTGCTTAGCGCCCTACACCCTCAGCCGCCGCTTGACTTTTGAAGCCTAGCGCTGTCGGGAATTCCCGTGTCAGGAACCACCGTCTGGAGTCATGCAGCTGTGACTGAGACCATCGTGCTGTAGCCACCGTACACGCTCCCTGAATCCATGGGGAAGTCGCGGCAAGTTCGACCCAAGCCTTAACATAGACTTCGGAGGAGTAAACGGGAATGGGAACAACTACTCCTGAAGGTTGCGAAGTGTTGGCTGCACGGAATAATCTCGGAGTAGATGCCTATGTTGGCTGCACAGAGTAGATGCCCACGTGCCCGGGGCTGCAATCATGTTCCCCCGGAAAGCACCAGAGCTGTCCGAGATTTCATTGTGAACCTAAGTATCTTATAAGGGGATTTTGAACAACAGACACAGTCGTTTAGATCTAGGCTATAGAATTTAGGGTTTGTTTAACCCCGAACTTCACATCTTGAATACCCTGGAGCCTCAACTAGAACGGAATTGCCGCCTAAGCCCCTCTCCTTCATTGGGAGCACGAGAGGTGCTGCTCGTTTGAACTGCGCTCGGCCTTAGGAGGCTGCCGCTGTTGGCGCGCCTTCGCGATGTAGGGAGCCCGAAGGCACATCTCGTCAGACATCAGAGCATCATACCCAGACACATATCATGCAACGCGTATGCCGGACGCTTCGCATCACCAGCTGAGCTCAGACGTGGTCGCTTGCTTCACTCGCTGCAGTCGAAAGCTGCGCAGGGCCTCGCTGGGTTCAGGGCGCCCTAATCGAGGCCCCCCCCCCCCCCCAATATGCCAGGCCCCACACCCGGAGACTGAACCTCTCCACTCTCTCTCTCTCTCTCTCTCTCGCTCTCGCTCCCTGTCTCCATGTCTCTCTCTGCCCCTCTCCCCCTCTCCTTCCCTCCCTCCCTCTCTTTCTCCAGCTCTATCTCTCTCTCTCTCTCTCTCTCTCTCTCTCTCTCTCGCTCTCTTTCAGTACATGTGCATACTAATGAACTAGTGTTGTATGTTTACTCGTTTGGCTGGTATAGGGCTTAGGGGAGCCGGCGACGCCGGAACTCTGAGGAACACGACTACATTTCCCTTGCGTGCATCAGCAGCAGCCATTGCACACTAGTCACGTCTAAGGGCAATGGTTTACTGACCCTGAATCTGCCCCTTTCCTTGGATGCGAGTTGCGCAAGTTTGGGCCCTTGAGCTCCAGATGAAGGGTTCCAAGCTAAGGGCGCATCACAAAGACCAGGCTTCCCTTCTTCAGCTCCCGAAGAGCTGTAAGCCTCTTACTTATTCCCCCCGCAAGCCCCAAGCCCCAAAATCCTAAACCCTGCGAGGCCTGTCAGCCCTATAAGCGGAATGAGCCTTAAGCCTCACCAACCCTAAAAGCCCCACAAGCTCCGTAAATCCCGGGAGCCCTATGCGCCAACCCGAACCCTAGCAGCTAATGGGGCCTCAAGCTACAGCCAGGCAACGAGGGCACGGCACCGCGGACGATCCATGACCTGGGGGGCTTCAAACATCCCGGGGTTTGGGGTTTTAGGGTTTAAGGGTTTCAGGGTTTAATCAAGGGTTTAAGGGTTTAAGGGTTTGAGGGTTTGAGGGGTTAAGGGTTGAGGGGTTTAAGGGTTTAAGGGCCCAAGGGCTTAAGGGTTTAAGGGGTTAAAGTGTTTAAGGGTTTAAGGGCCTAAGGGCTTCAGGGTTTAGGCTTTAGGGTTTCCCGGGTGCATGGCTACATATAAGTATGGCTCAGCGTTCAGGAGGCCTAGGTCAGAACACTATTTTTGAGTCCACGAAGGAAGCCCCGAGACCTTAAACCCCAATCCGCTAATCCCCTTAAGTCCCAAGACCCCTCGAGCCATGTGTCTCCTGCCAAACGAGAATTTCATCCAGGGTCTCCAGTTTAGGACCTTGTTCAGGGCGATCGTCTCGTAGAAAGCAGCTTGGTGGTTCAAGTGTCGTAAGCCAAACTTCAAAGCCAAAGCCTGAATATAGGGGTCGAAATTCACTACTAATAGTATGACCCCTATATAACTAGACTACAATAACCCCCCCCCCCCCCCACCAAAACCCTGTTCTAATTCTTAAGGCCTCTGTATTGCATCCCACACTTAGGGGTTTGCGAGATGAGGGGTCCTACGTTTCTAAGGTTTTCAGGGCCGAGGTTGGAGGGTTTGGCCACAGTGGGCCGGCTCTCCTAGTCCAAGAGACAGACATGAAGATGAGCCCGAAGAAAGATTGTGTGGAGTTGAAGGTGGACCTTAGGGAGTTCGCCTAGTCGGAAACATAATTTCCTTAAGGTCATGATGCCTTTTTCCCCTTTCCTTGCCACAGGAGATCTACCGTGTTTGCGAACAGGCGGAGGGGGATTCGGGGTTTATCAGCTGAGTTGTTAGCGCGCAGCATCAGCGTTTTCGGCCCTTACAATCTCGGGGGATTGGTGGCCCGTTTGGTTCGCTTTATGGAGGATCTTATGATGTGGAATATCGGCGGCTGCAAGCATTGGTCGTTTGGGATATGATGCTACAAGTCCTCGGGATTGCTTGCGGGGTGCTCATTGTTATGGGCTCTGTTTGGGTACCCTTCTACATAAGGCTCCGCCTTATGCTAGGATCACCAAGAGGGACCCTAACTCAGAGAACCTCCCACGTGTTGACTTATAGTTCTTAGGTCTTGTGGGATGCTCCCCCCGGCTTTTCTTCGAATCGGTTCAGGTGAGCCCAAGCTCCGCGAAACGCGCCGGTTCCGTTGGGTTGTGGGCGCCCTGCAAGTTCCGAAGCCACCCTTAGACCTTGCACCCTAAACCCTTGTCCCTGCACCCTGAACCCCTAAACAACAAAGCCTTAGCCTTGCGCTACACACCAAAATTCCTGTAAGCCCTCAACCCCAAGCCCTGAACCTTACACTTTGCAGTGCTTTTTTGAGCCTACAAGCCCTAAACCCTAAACATCCCAAAGCTCTAGCCACTAAACCTTCAAACCCAAAAACCTTAAGCCCTAAACCCTAAACCTTAGCTTCAAGCCCTTAGCCCTGAGCCCCTAAACCCTAAGCCCCTCCACCCTAAGCCCTAACAGGGCTCGGACCGATTTACCTACACGGTGATGGGGTCCATGCTGGAGCTGCAACTGGGCGGCAGTCTCCCCCAAGGGTATGACGAAGGGTATTTGGGGGTTTTAGGGGATGAGGGGCTTAGGGCTTTAGGGGTTTTGGGTATAGGATGGTATAGGGGTTTAGGGGTTGAGGGGGTTAGGAGTTTAGGGGTTTAGGGTTTAGGGGGTTTAGGGAGTTATAGGTTTTGTGTAGGGGTGGATCGGGCTCAGGGGTGTAGGGGTTGATAGGGTTGAAGGGTTTAGGGCCTTTGTAGAGCTTAAGGTGTTGTAGGGGTCAGGGGTGGATAAGATTCAATCTGAGGGGTTGTATTAACGCTTGTATGGGGGGTTTTAACAGGGCATACGGGTTGAGGTTGAAGAGTGTTTGGGCTTTAAGGATTTGCTTGGAGTTTTGACGTAAAAAAACTACTGGAACCCTACTTACTTGCATGAAGCCGCAAGGAAAAGGAACCCCGAACCCTTAGCTGTGAGGGGGTTGTGGAGTTGGGCTATGTCCTTTTCTTGGGGGAGTTCTCTGTTTAGGGTCAGATTTGGGGGCCGCCATGTTGGGTTGAGAGTGCCGAGCCCGGTCGTATCGTCGAGGGCTCAAGTCCCCTTTTCCTTGGAGTTCTGCATCTCGCTGTCAGGGTTTGGAGGGTCGGGGGGCGGTTTGGGACAGTCCACTTACTGGTCCTTCAGGTGAACCCTATCATACTTCCCCTTCGTGCCCTAAGCAAGAGCAGCCAAGGTACTGCAACGCCATCGTGGACCTTTTGGCCAAAGGCAACCCTAGCTGGAATCTGAGAGCTTCGGGTTGGCGGACTTTGGCTTTAAGGCTTAGGGTTGAATCTGGGAGTGGCTGACGGTCTTCGCATCTGAAGCTGAGGCGATTGAAGCGAAGGCGATTCTTCTGGGCTGGTTTCCGACATTCGGGGGCCAAGCGTGTTTTCTGTGCCGAGGCCAGTCAAAGGCGAAGCTGAACATCCGGCAAGAGAAGAGCGGATCAGCTTGGCGTCCCAAGAGGGGGTTCCCGAAACCCCAAAATCTAAGCGTATGGTTCAGGGTAGTGTTTAGGGTTTAGAGTCTAAGGAACCCTGACGATGGGAACCACAACCTTCGAATGCCCGTAAGCCGTGCTTGCTGTCTTTTCGGCGCAAAAGGCAGGTGGGGGTCTAAGCCCTTCAACCTTAGAAGCCTTGTAAGACACCCTCAGACCCTAAAAGCCCTTAAGCCCTCTTCAAACCACCACCCCTTGATCCCCAGAAGACCACCTGGTGAGATTGGGGAAGTCAGGCTCCGGGGCTTACGCTTAGGGCGACTAGACAAGTCAATGCTCGAAAATCCACCTGACTGGCTCGATGAGAGCGAGGAGTGGAGCTAGTCACCACTTATCGCTGATTTGCGGTTCATCGCTGCCTGGGACTATCCCTAAATAAACCCCAACGGTCCTTACCACGTAGGCTTATAGGGTTTAGGGTTTTTGGGTGTAGATTTAGGGTTTAAGGTAGCTCCGCAGGCAAGGACCCGTAAGTTTCGGAAACCACCTTGTCACCAGGTTCAACCCCGAAGCCTTCTCCGTTAGAAAGAGGCTTCAGGGCTTCAAGGCTTCAGGCTCAGGAGGGGGAGCTTTAAGCATCGGGGTTCAGGGTTTAAAAGCAACCAAACCGTGAAGGGTGGAGGGGAGGGCAGGGGGGACCCTAAACCCTGCCAAACTCCGAAGCCCTAGGCCCCACCCCATCCCATGAAGTTGCCGGAGACGGCAAGTTGAAATTTCGCAGCTCGAAGGCTACCCAAAAAAGTCAAAACCCCAAACCCGAAACGCCTAGAAACTCTCAAACTCCAAACCCAGAATGAAGCCCTGAAGCCGTAAACCCTTGAATTAGGGATTTGTGTAGAAGCTCAGGGCTTGAGGTTTAGGATGATGTTTTCGGGGAACTGGGTTTACGGTGTAGGTAGGGTTCCTACCTAAGCCATAAGCCCTGAGGTTTACGTGGAGGGCCTGCATGAAGAGCAGTGTGTGGAGCTCAGAATGCCAGAAGGGATGGGAGCTTCTCAGTATTTTTCGGGACTTCGAACTCTAAAGTGCAAGGTGAAGGTTAACTCGGGGTTTGGAGCTGAGTGTGCTTCTTGGAAGTTGCATCCTTAACGCTGATGTATGCTCGGTTTTCACCAAACAGTGCTGTCACGATGGGGTTCTTACATTCTCGCGAAATCTGTTTGGGGCCTTGGATTGTGCTCCCGCTTGCGATGTGCCTCATGGCCGTACACTGTTCGAGTGATGCATCTTCGTTGCTCCTTCGGTTTTCTGATTGCAAGAGCTTCTGCTCCGGGAGCCGTGCGTATACATCTTTATGCTGCAGAATGCCGCACACTGTTTGTTTGCGGCCACACCGGCAGAATTTGATTATCAGAACCTAGTCGAAGGGAACCCCTCAACTAGTATGCGAGGACTGGGCCCTATCATCCATACAATAGAAGTATCCATATTCAGTCTTTGGCGCCAGCAAGCTAATGCAAGACCCGTCTGGGGGGCTGTCCCGGCTGTCCCCTCGACCCGAAGCAGGGAAAGTTGTCCTGTAATGAGAAAGGCCCAACAGCCCCAACCCCCAACACCAGATCCCTGCACCCCACCAACTTCTTTACTAAACCCCGCAGCCTCCGACCCTCAACCCTCAACCCTACCAATATTACCATTAGTATTCATGTTTTTGAATACTACTACTGCTACTACTACTACTACTACGACGACGACTGTATGAATTTTGTTACTCTTAACATTCATACTCTGCATAGAAATAGGAATATAAGTGTTAAAAGTTACCATACGTAGTGTCAGAGTGACAAGGCAACTCAGCTGCCGAGCTCATGGCCATGCTCGAACGCCGCTTCGGCATGGGCAATTGGACCCTAAGCCCAAAGCCCGGAATCCTGGGTGTTTTTGGGTTTTTTGGGTTTTTTTAGGGTTGAGGCTGAGATTAGCCGAAGTGCACATGAAGTTAGCCAAGCATTGTCTTATGCTCTAGGGCCCGTGTGCAAATGCCACAAGGCCTCTCGGGCCTTCTTGGATGCCCTCTTGGGATTCCTGCCCTTCTGCTATCAGTCCTCTGTAGGGATCATATTACCCCCTATTAGAATCCCTATTAAGGAGCTGCTAGTAATTCCTCTACAGGGATCATAGTGCTAGTACAAGGGGGAACATCCCCTCGTGTCCTCGATCAAGCCCTCCAGCCCCCCAAAACCGCGAACGGACAAATCCATGCACGATCCTCGCTGGAGGGGAATGTGGGTTCCTAAACTTGAAACCAAGAGTCTGCGCCCCTACACCTTCTGAGGGTTTACAACCACCGAGAAGGCCTTAACCCCCTGGAGGCCCTAAGCCCTGAACGTCCAGGAATCTATAAGACATGTCAATTCGTCATCCCTCCCCATCCCAAAACGTGACATGAGTGTTTAAGGAACACTTCCTAAACCCACTCTTTATTGGTGCCAGGGGGGAACGATCAGAGAACCGTGGCGGCAACCGCCGGTGGCCCAGTTCTATTCTGTTTCGATTTTGCATACCCTACACCGCAAACCTTGTCGTACTCAAAAGCTTTAAAACTCTAAACCTTACATTTTGAGGCCCTAAATCCTAATGGGCTCAGGCTATAGGCTTCAGCACTTGGGGGTTTCGCAGCTTCGGGTTCCACACAGCCGTTCTCGAGCGCTACTGCAGGAGCTAGGCCCGTAATTCATTACGGTCAGGGCCTAGGGCTTGGGCTACAGAGGTGCGGGGGATCCCATGACCAAGCCTTCAACTCGAAACTCTTTCACACCCCTAAAACCCTAACGTGCTCAGAAAATATCCTGAACCTGTAACTCCCCACACCCACAACTACCCTTCAGTGGCAGCTGCCGCAGTCACCAAAGCATTCGCCTTTCTCAAGCACTGCCCCGGGCCCCATGATACCAGCAGTTTTTTATAAAGATGAATATTCTTAGCGGGAAGAACCCCAAACGATAGCGGCACAAGTGCCCATGAACCTCTAAACGACTACACTGCACGATTTTCCCCCGTAGCCCGTAGCCTTGAGAGGTTCAGAGCATGAAAGAATAGAGTGATTGCACTACTCCAAAATACAAGGGAGTGCATCACAGCCTCTAAGTACCCTAAACCTTAAACCCGAAACCATCGACAGGCCATGAACTCTGAGAGTTCGCGAAGCCACCTCGTTCTGCTCATCAAAATCATCAGCGTGAACAAGCGCCCTCGGCCCGTGCTCGTGGGATCCTATAGGGTTGTGGGCCCTTGGGTTGTTGGCCCTTGGGTTGTTGTTTATTTCTTCTGATTGGGTTTAAGAGGACCTCGACCCCGAGCCCCAAGCCCGTTCTTTTTGTGCTTGCCGGCACTTCAGTGCTCATTCATGCATAGGTGTGAGTTAAGGGCGTATATCGGAACAGCACCTAGAGTAAACTGCTGGGCACTGTTCCAAGGTGGGGGAGGATCCAACCTACTGGCTCCAAACCTGCAGAGATGTTTTGAAAGACCAGGTCGGTACTCACAGCGATTTCAGGAAAGACGTTTCATTTGGCCCCTTAAAGACGAAAGAAACACCTAGCGGTACCTATTTCGGTTCTAGGGGCCCTGTAAGAACCCCCAAGCCCTAAACCGCCTGCGGCTGTGCCAGGGAGACCAAAGAGACGCTGAAGGGCAAGATGCTCATGTGCGGCTTGGCCGAAACCCTCAACACGCACGCGAGACCCCAGGGTGCAGGGTTCAGGTTAACAAGCCCAAACCCTACACAGTCCTACATATTCAACCTCGTATGAACCGATGTAAACCCACAAGCCGTATCACTAGGCCCTGCATACCTTCCAAAAGAGAAGCAACCTGCACCAAAATCCGAAACCTGAACGCTTCTTGCCTGCGAGGGGTGCGTGCTCGAGCGACTGCACGAATGGATCGCAATGCTCAGGTGATCTGGCGGGCTCTGAACGACTAAAGAAGTCGGAGGCTGCCCCCCCCCCCCCCCCCTGCTGGTTCTTCAGGTTTGACTGTCTAGGGTCTAGGGTCAGGTTTGGGCTTTGAACCCTCCTGAAAACCATGGGCTCCTGCTTCCTGAACTTGAGTGTTTGAAATCGCTTTAAAAGCAAGATTGGCAAGAAATTTGAGCGTTGCACATCGCGGTAAGACAACACAAGGTTAGCGAGACACAGTTTGCGTGCCTCCTACTACGCTACATGTAGAAAACACACACAAGCTTCTTGTTAATCGAGCCTTGAATCCAAACCCTGTCCGAGTGAGGTCTCGCAGAAAACCCTCAACCCAAACCGGTGTCGGCAGCGTTTGGTCGGGAGTTTGGAGGGTTTGCAATACCCCAAAGGGTTTAAGGGCAAACCCTAAATCCCAGACCCCTTAAACCCCTAAACGCGGACACATGCGTAGAGACTCTCCCGCAAACCCCTACAGTAGAACCTTACACCTTGCACCACCCCTAACTTCCAAAAGTTAGAACCTCCAAAGTAAAACTCTCAAAGTCCTTTTTTTCCTTGCTCTGAAGCCTTGAGCCCGGAGGCTGCTGTTTTGTAGGGTTGGCATCAAAAGAGGCTCCAACTCGTTACCTCCCTGAGGTCCTAAAAGGTTCTACATGCCGTTTGTTTGGGTCCAGGGTTTAGGTTTCAGGGTTTCCTCAGGGTTTCCTGAGACGGCCCCTAGACCCAAAGCCATGCAGGTGACAGAGCACCAGCAGAAGGAAGCCATTGAAATCAACAGGCCAGGACGCGGCAGGAGGAGGGTGCATGCTCTAAACCCTACTTGGAGGTTCATGGGCGCTGGGCCGCATTTGCTTTAGGGTTTAGTATTTTAGCAGGTATAAGGGTTCGGGTTTAGGGCTCCTAAGACTCTAAGGTTTAAGGTTCGGGGTTTACGATTGAGGGTCCTGGCTTTCTGGGTCGCCTCGACCAAGCCTAAAAGAACTCAGCTGGGTTTCGGCTTCTAACTCTCAAAAGCCAACCAGACCCTTAAACCCTAAACCCCAAGCCCTCCCTCCTGGTCCACGGCACGCCAGATCCCTCACCGCGCTGGGTGATGTGATCGAGGCTCGTGGACGGGATCCCTTTCAGGTCCGTCTTCGCGGGCTTGGCTTTGTCGGCCAGCAAGCATCTAAAGCTTGGGATGTTCCCCGCTCTATAGACACAGCACAGGCAAGTTTCTGGGACTTGCAAAGGAGACTGTGGGCATAGGGTGGAACATCCCAAAGCTTGGGTGCCCCAAAACACAGTCTTTTAGTTGAGGCTTCTGGGCCCAAGGGTGTTACCGATCGGAAACAGCAGGCCGCTCTCACCGTTCTCACCCTAGAATTTGCGGCACCCCCCCGTGATTCAGGTACTCCATCTTACATACCCGAAATTGGCTGAGGCTCCTACCAGAGGTAGAAGCCCTGGTTGTGCACAGGAGGTTCGTTCTAAGGCTCCGGAACTCGAAATCTGTTGGCGGGTCTGGGGCAAGCCCTAAAACCCATGGCCCCAACGTACCCCTTCGAGACCCTTAAGCGACCGTAGTGTAACAGGACTTAGGGCTTGCTGACCTCCCGTGGCCTGGGCGCAGGCGCTGACCAAGGGTGGCAAAGGCGTTGTCCCCTACAGGACGCCGGGGCGCAGAGCTCAACTTGCTCACCGAGTTCGCCTGAACCCTAAACAAACACCTTGAAGGGTAAACCCTGAACCCTTAACACCCAAAACCCCTCAACTCCTCAACCCACCTCCCCTCCAACATCCCTGCGAAACGGCCGCCCCCTTTTTTTGGAGCGAACCGGGCACGGAACTGTGAAGCAAAGTAGAGCTGGAAGCTTGGGAAGGTCAGTTTAGGGCAGTGAAACTGCAAGTTAAGAGCTCAACAGCCCAATGGAATTTAAACCATCTAGATCTCCCAGTTGACCCTTCTTCCCTTTTTTTAAGTGTCGTGGGCACCTTCTGAAATCTTCAAAGCGGGCGGAGGCGAGATGTGGGCCGGGGCCGGAGCGGTTGGGGGTGGGGGTGCGGGTGGGGTCGGTGGTGGGGTGGGGTTGGGGCAGCGCTAGTCAGAAGGGATGCATGAACTCACTGGGCTTCACACCCCCAGATATCCCCAGATTCTTTCTGCGCGAGGAATCACAAGCTGACGCAGCTCATGCAAGACTCGTTGGGCGGAACTGCTCCTGTTCTGCATGTCAACGTCAGATCAGCCCCCACTCAGCCCCCTAAACTAAAGGACTCTAAATGTCCAATAGTCGCATTCTGAGCCCCTGGGCCCCCGAAACAAGACCCCCAGTATAAGGCAACTCGCGGGTGGCTTCCAGCTTCGGCTTGGTAGTTCTGGGCTTATTTAGTAGATTTTGGTAGTATGGTAGAATCTGCCAACATCTGACACAATATGACATCGCATCTGCTATCCAGGGTTCTAGGTACCCCATTAGTAAGAACCTGTGAAGGGTTACTTTTTGAGTGCCCCCTCCCCCCCCGCCAGTAGTACTTTTTCATGTTTCGCTGTGCTTCAGTTTTAAGCGCTAGGTTCCCTTGCGTTTGTGTTACTCCCCGCGAATCTTCCATTAGATCTCCCCTTTACTGGGTTTCTGGGGAATCTAGGGTTTGTAGTTTTCAAGCAATGCAAAGGTTTGAGATTGAAACTGCGACTTGGGTCACGCAGCTTAGGAGCATTGGGAGGAGCATTGGGCTTGCAGGTGCTCGATTTGTAGTACTGCTGCTGGGCATCCGGAGCCCAGCAGGCCTCTTTAGGATGGTTTCTGGGCATTTCATTCCGTAGTGGCAAATGCTATGTTTTTGGGTGGGATTAAGCAACCATGAACTTTAGACCCTGAGCCCCGGATAGTGCAACTTCGTTGTCGGCCATCGCCTAAGGCCGAAGCTTCGCAGCAGGGGTTAGTTGGGGTGGGGGTATGGCTTCGGTCAGTTGGTATTCAGAGTTCTGTGTTTGAGCACCTTAGCTTTAGATGCTGAAGCCTGAAGCATAAATTGCACCGGGGAGATAGCTTTGAGGCGAAAACGCTCATGTTCGTGAACTGCTCACCGGCCAGCTCCAACCTAGATGAGACATTCATGCCACACCGACCTGTTTAGGGTGCAGTTTCATGTTTGAGCATGCTCGGAGGTTCATGCAGGCCGAGGTGCAGCGACTGTTTCAATGCCGAAGCCCGATTCATGTTGAGCTCAAGATTGCCTTTGGCGTGAGGGCTCTCCTGAGTTCGGGCGTTTGAGATCCCAAGCCCTAAACGCTGTTCGCAGCGGCAAGGCTTACCCCAGTGTTGAGGATGTGTTTGTATTTGCCATACAACCTTCTTATGGGAGCTTACTTCAACTTCCTTAGCAGGCACCAAGCTCAGTAGCCCTGGGCTGTCAAGAGCTACCCACCAGGGCCCTTCTCGTGTTGGGGCCTCGCGTAGCAGGAGAGGGCTTAATCGGAGTTGACACCCGAGGCGCGGCTTAAATCCGAAACGCGCCGGCGCAACAGGTACCACAACTTGTCCTTGGATCCCTAGTTTATCCAGCAGGAATAAGGGATGTTTCGGGTAATGCTCGTTTGCTGTGCACGCCCTAAATCTGGGGCTGAGGATTGAGAAGCATCTGTCACGAAGCCGGTGCACGTAAGAAGTGCCGGTTGGATAAGGCAAGGCTGCCGCAGAACTGTTCAGGGATCGACGGGAGCCCTATTGGTGCCTCGCACCAATGGTGGCACCCTTCTCCTGGCTAGATTTTCGGGTTCCGACCTGGCTTCCTGAGCCCGAAAGGCTTACAGGGCTCCACAGCATCGGTGGTGGGGTTCCAGGTCTCTGAAATATGCGCAGCGAGCGAAGAAGATCACCAACAACACGGCGAAGAAGCGGCTTTGACTTTGTTACAGGGTTGAGGGTTTGGGGGGTCTTCCTGGGTTTCTTGCCACGCCACGTGCTTTCAGACTGCTTACGCTCATCTCCGTGCTGAATCCGTGTAATGAAAATAAGGAGGACTCTTCGGTTCAGGGTTAATGTGTTCTGTCTGGGGTTGTTGAGGGAGGGCTTAGGGTTTACGGTTGTTCTATTGCCCCGTTGCTGGAGCACACTGCTGCCTGAGTGCCCTACTTTGCCCATCAGTGGGCATGCAAGGATTGAGTCGTACTGTGTCCCAGCGAACCATTGGAGAAGCTCCCCCCCCCAAAAAAAAACAGAAAAGAACCCATAATCGCGGATGACCCCCGACAGCCTTGGAACCCTACCAAGCATTTGGCTCCGAGCTCATAAACCTCTGAAGTCATGGTGCTAAGTGCTAAGGTGAGATCGACGTCGCGGCGTGGATGCTCCTTCCAGTTAGTGTTGCTTGTTTTCCACCAGCTTGCCACTGATAGTGCCCGAAAGCTAAAACCGCTAAAAACCTTAAAGGCTTCAACCCCAAAAGCACGACCTACAAGCATGGAGAGCATTGACGACGGGGGTTCTCCCAAACCAGGTTTGGGGGTGTAGGTTTAGGGTTCCGGGCTTGGGGTGCAGTGGCATTCTGAAGTAGTCCTAGCCTAGACCCTAAACCCTAAACCCTATACCCTAAACCCTAGACCCTAAATCCTGGCTCCAAGTTCTTTCGGGCGTACTCCACGCGGGCAAGCTGGGCAAATGTCAGCCAAGATGCTGTAGTACCAAGCCTGCTCCAATAAAAAATTGCAGCTCCCCGTCCCATACCCGGATCCCCAAAAACCCTATCACGCCGGGGACATTTTGAATCCTCAGCCTTAAAGCCTTAAAGCCCCCCCCATAAAATTGCACCAAGCTTCCAGGCATCAACAGAAAGCTTAACACCTAAACCCTTCGCCCGAAAGCCCAGAACCCCAAACCTTGGCGTTCCAACACCCGAAAGCCCTAAAGCCCTGAAAGCCCCCTAAACCCCAAAGCCCAAACCCCAAAACCCCCAAAGCCCTAAGCCTCTCTAACCCTTGAGCCCCGAAACCGGGCTAATACAGGGGCCTTTATTCACCCTAAGCCCTAAACCCTAAACTACCCCAAAGCCCTAAGCCCTAAGCCCTAAGCCCTAAACCCCTATGATACAGCGCCTTGGTCTTGTGCAGACTGCGCCGCGCTGAAAGCCCCGAAGGGGCGCTTTAAGTGAAGCCCAGGTGCCATCGCGCCGAGTTCCAACTCACTGGCTCAAGGGTTTAGGGTTTAGGGGTTAGGGGTTTAGGGTTTAGGGTGTGTAGGATGTAGGGTTGAGGGGCTTTGGGGTTTTGCCACCCTAGGGTCTGCCTGAGACAGTGACAGTAATCAGCCACAGCTTTATTGCGCGTTGTGTGCTTGCAACATAAGCATAGCATAAAATCCCAGGATGCCCAGCAGTGCCCCCTAATGATTCGCTTTGGTAGGGCCAGGATCCCTTGCGGGCCCCTAGGTCGATAATAAACACACTTTCGGGAAAATCCTGCCGAAACCGACCCCGCCTTTAGACCCTATTTCGAATAGGGGGGGGGGGGGGGGTTTCACAGTCTCAAAAACTTTCAAGCCAATCTAAGCCCTATTCCAAAAGATGGCATATGGATAAAAACATCCCCCCTAATGCGCAAAACCCATTTCGAGCTTCTACTGGGGGAGAGGGGGGGGGCCGTTAAATAATAGGGGAAAGGGATTGAAGGGTTTTAGGGCTTTCCGGTTTAGGTGGAGTCCTCCAAAGGTTTTTGGGGAGGGGGTTGAGTGCAGTTTCAGGATACGGCTTCTTGTGTCGGAGAGGCATGGCGGCCAGGCTCTGCGATAATTGACCTTGCGCCAGAAGGTGTTGGCAGGGTGGCCCCAAGAAATCCCGGGCCCCTGAGCTTTATAGGGTTTAGGGTTTACGGCTTAGGGACGCGGTTTTCAAGTGTTTCCCAATGAAGGGACCATGTAACGACCCTAAGATCGACGCGCGCTCCGGGGACCATGCCAACCCCTTGTACCTAGCGCCGCTGGGAACCCAGAGGACTGCAACGGCGCAAAGCCCCAGATGAGCTGATTTCTAGAGGTGTAGATTGGTGAATAGGGATCATAGTACCCCCTATTGAAGGCAGGTTTGGAATTCAGGGCTAGAGTTGGTCCCCCTCCCCCGGGTTTAGGGTTTAGGGTTTATGGTGCATCGTTTAGGGTTTTAAAAGTTTTACTTTTAGGGTTTGTGGAAAGGTTCTCTCTCCATCAGCCTTGAGGTTTGAGTTCAAGATGTCGAGCCCTTTACCTAAGCTACAGGCCATTTGGTGGGGGTTAAGGCTTTTCCTGAACTGCCCTAAACCCTGTAACCCAAGCCCCAAGCCTTAGCATCCGAGCTGCTCTAGACTCAGGCGTCCTCCTCAAGACTCCAGCACAGAGCCTGCAGGACTCCCTTTGCAGTAGTCGATAGGACCTTTGGGTAGGATTGGCTGTATGGCTGTGGTTGTACTAGTCCGAGACCCTCAAGTGCTGAGGCCAGGAATTTGGGGTGTTCGTGCAGGCTCAGGGTAGCCCCTTAACCCGAGGCCCACAAGCGCAACTCATTCTGGGGCATGTTCCAGCGGGGTCTCCTGGGGCCCGCCTCCATTTCACGAAGTGCCGATGCACTGCCCAACAGGAATCGTAAGCCTCGACCCAAAAACCCTAAACCCTAAACTTTTAGGGCCCTGAACCCTCAAACCCTGAAAGCCAAAGCCGTAGATTCGAGCCGCACCCAGGTCACCCAAGGTCTATAGAGTCTAGGGTATCATGGAGGCTCATAGGGTTTAGGGGGTAGGGTTGAGGCTTGAGGCTTGCGGGGTTTAGGTTTGGTCCTAAAGTTATACCTGAACCCTACGCCCTTAGACCCAGAGACCGTCCCGAAATCTAAGCTCGTAGACGAAACCTCAGCTCAGACCCTCATCCCAGAAACCCGAAATCAGAAACGCCAAGCCCTACGCCTTAAGCCCGAATCCATAAACCCTGAGACCGCCATCTCCAAAAGGCATTCAGCTTGTCTGATGGGACCCTACACCCCGAACGTTGAAACCCTACGCTCCGTGATAGAGGGTTTCAGGTTTAGGGTTTGGGGTTTCTGCTATGCACGGCTGAGGGTGGCCTTCGCAGTTGTGCAGCAGGGTCTCGGGATGTAGAAGCGGGAACATCATGTGAGCTAACATTTTGGCAGGAGCCTTCCCCCCCCCTCCCTTGTTGAGTGAGGCTTCCCAAAGTAGTAGGGGCTTTTTTCCCTATACTTGGAGCCAGTGAACAGTTTTGGTAATTGAAATTTGGGATCATAGTGCATCTGCATTTCGCGGCCCAGATGTATGTTCACATTGTGTGGCAACGGGCTACAGCCCCAAGCCCACCGTGCGCGAAGCCTCGCTTCTTCCTAAACCGACTGCTCTAGAAACGAGCGTTTTGCCTTAGCTGATCGTTCTGCTTCCACCAGATCATAGAGTTTTTCAAAGAGGTTCTAAGAACCGTTGAGTAGGCCCGAAGTGCAAGCCGGTTCGCCGGCCCAGAGGCTACACCCTGCAGACCCTCCCTATGCCCCGAAACCTCTACAGCCATGAAATTTGCCCTGAGAACCCACTTCGAAGCCTGAACCCGAAACCCGAACACCCGCAAACCCTAAACCCCTCAGCCCTGAACCCTACTAGGGTTTCGGGCGTTTAGGGGCTTAGGGTTTAGGGTCTAAACCCGAAACCCCCCAAGCTCCAAACCCGCATAGAATCCAAGCCAATTTCGTGCACGGGGCTTTCGGGGTGGCACGGAGCGTCTGACGAAAACCGGAGCAATGCCAGGGCCTTTGATGTTTGAGGGGTTTCAGGCTTCGGGGTTTAGGGTTGGGGTTTAGGGTGCTTGGGGTTCTTGGGTGTTTTAGGGTCTCGAGGCTTTTGAGGGCTTTTGAGGTATTTTTTTATTTTTCTGGGCTTTAAGGGCTTAGCTGCCACTGAAGAGCCGAAGCTGGAAGTAGGGGCGGCCCTGGGGGTATCTTCGATTTTCCTTTATTGGGTTTAGTAGGTTTTCAGAGGGTCTTACGGGCCATCCTCCGGCCGTTCTAGGGGTGCAGGGCTTAGGGTTTAAGGTTCAGGGCCTTAAGCGCCCTTGTGCATGAAGCCATCTTGTCAGCACCTCGATGCGCACCATTCCGTTGGCGTTTTATCCCACTCTCGCGATACCGATGCTGCAGAGAGAGGGCTTGGCGTTTGGGGTTTGGGACTTTAGGGTTTACAGTAGGGCTTAGACCGCATCTTCACAAAACAAACACCCGGCAGAAAGGCCCTTAGAGGACGCTCCATTGTACAGACTCAGCAAGCTGCCAACAGTCATAGGCTCCCAAGGGAGGGCCCGAGAAGAATCTATCGAGGAACCCTAAACCCATTTTTGCTTCTTCAGGCTTCTTTGGCCCCCTGCGGATCCCTATGAAACAGGACCCAACCGTTGGGAGGCGCCTTCTTCAAGCGGAGAAGCCGTCGCCTGCCGGCGGTGGGGCGTCAGTGGGGGAAGCTCTTATGATAAGAGCTTCTCAGGATTTCTATGCGAAGGGAGGCTGCAAAGGGCGGTCTACGTGGTCTACCTTTAAGCGCAAAGGGGGTGTAGGGGTTTAGGGGTTTAGGCTTGAAGGTTTAGGCTGAGGGTAGGTTCCCTAAACGTTTAAAACACAAGCTCTGGGTGTCCCATGGAAGGTCCCCTCCTGAATGTTGGACTCCTGTTTCCGTGAATGTTGACCTGTATCTTGAAGGCCGCTGACCTTACAATCACGCTCAAGGTTTGTTTAAGGACTAGGCTCTCCTGGATTTCTGGACGGCTTGAAGGGTTTCAAAACTTTACGGGCTCCAGGCTTTTGAGGTGTTGCGGTTTATCAAGTTTAGTGCTTAGAAGGCTGCAGCTTCATTTTCGGTAACCGAAAAAAGGTAGCTGTTGCCTGTTTGATCACTAGAAAACTCAGGTGGCAAGCAAAAAGCTCCATGAGCCTTATTAAGGACATGTCATGTGCCCTTTGATCGCCAATACGTTGGCGCCCTAAACGTGACCCCCGAAACTCTGAACCCCCAAGACCCTAAACGTAAGTGTACGCACCGTGGAGGTCATAAAGCCACGCATCTTGTGTTCGGCCTCCCACGCGACCCAAGAGTCACCCGGACAGCTCTCTGAATTGTGGCCCCTTTTTGAGGGCTTAGGATGGTTTTGGGCAGTTTAGGGTTGAGAGCTTGGAATTACTGAAAGAAGCATGATAATTACGTAAGAGGGGCTGGAAGAGGAGAGACCTGTCCACTTGCAGCCGTGACATGCTGAAGCCAGACAGCCGACAGCAGCGCCCCGGGCGTGAAACTCCCAGGTAGGGTTTAGGGTTTA